TTTTTCCTTCTATTTTGTTTTTGACTTTGATTGTTTTGTTTGCTGTTTGAACATGTATATTTATGGTTTTCCAGCCAACTTTGGGCCTGATTATATACAGGTGGGGGTCCAACCTTAACACCCTACCCTTCCGGGATGTTTCTTCTATAAAAAACAAAAAAAAAATCTAGTTGTGTAATAAAATAAGGAAGAGATCAATCATAAATTTAATGTGAATAATGTTGATATTTAATGCATCCAAGCCTAATTATTATTTTATAAAAATACTAATTTACATCCAAGCCTAGTTACAAAGAATGTACTTTTGCCACATAAAATTTCCAAGCATGCGAGTCTACCACTTAGGCTCAACACATTCAACAACTATATAAATGAGGGATTTTATATATTGTATGTAGTGTACATTTCTTTAGATCCATCCTAACAGTTATTTACTGTGATTTGATCATTAAGTGTTTCTATACAAATATATCCGCTCAAATGAGTTATTTTGATTAATCAGAGTTAAGTGGTATGGTTAGTTGTTAGTGAGATTTTATAATAAAATAATATTTAAATAATATAATTAAAATTGATTTGATATAAAAATAGGAAAGAGACGATGTGCAATGATAGTTAATTAAAATTATGTGAGTAGATTAATAGTAAATTAAAATTGATATAATATATAAGAATGGTTTAATGATATTATTTAATTACATTGATAATATTGAGAATAGTAACTCCGCCTATGTTGTCTCAACATAGCAGGTCCCAAGCCCTGGTAAAGGAGAAGGGTTGTGATAGGCTTGGCGAGCCAATGTGAAACCTAGCCATTCTATGGAGATGAAACACATGAGAAATTCGTGGAGGCGTAACCCTCTTAGCGACGCGCCATATCGGAACCCGGGTATGGTGTCAAATGGGCAAGGGCCGGGTCGTCCCCCCCTCGGTGATGCGCCATGTCGTGGTTTGGGCATGGTGTTAAGTGAGCAAGGACCGGGTCGTCATTTCCTTAGTGGCGCGCTACATCGGCGCTCGAGTGTAGTGGAAAATGAGCAAGGGTCTTCGCATCTCTCTCGACTGGTACAGAGGGCAGGGAAGCTAGTCGAACCAACTAGGGTCGGTATAGGTAGTTGGAACGTAGGGTCCATATCGGGTAAGCTACATGAGCTAGTCGATGCACCTACTAGGAGGCGTGTTAATATCCTATGCATCCAAGAGACTAAATGGAAGGGACAGAAGGCGAAGGAAGTGAAAGATACTGGCTTCAAACTTTGGTTCACTGGGGCTTCATCGAGTAGGAATGGTGTAGGCATCTTGATCGATAGGAGCCTTAAGGATGGAGTTGTAGATGTTAGAAGGCAAGGCGACCGGATTATCGTAGTCCGATTGGTAGTTGGAGATTTGACCATGAATGTGATAAGTGCCTATGCCCCTCAGGTAGGTCTTAGTGAGAGCACCAAGAGGCAATTCTGGGAGGATCTGGAGACCTTGGTTAGTACGGTGCCTGCCAACGAGAAGCTCTTCGTCGGAGGAGACGTAAACGACCATGTGGGTGCGACTAATGTAGGTTTCGAGAGAGTGCACGGAGGGTTTGGGTATGGTAGTAGAAACAAAGAGGGGGAGGGTGTGTTGGACTTTGCGATTGCCTACGACTTGTTGATAGCGAACACCCTCTTTGGGAAGATTGAATCTCACCTAGTGACCTTCCATAGTGGACGACACTCAAGTCAGATCGACTTTATCCTTGCAATGAGGGAGGATAGACGCGCTTGCGTAGATTGCAAGGTGATACCTTGGAAGTGTGTTGTCCCCCAGCATAAGTTGGTGGTGGGGACTTTCGATTCTGAATACGTGTCCATCGGGACAAACGTGCCAAGATCGTGAGAACGAAGTGGTAGAAGCTTAAAGGGGAAGCGGAATAGACGTTCAGGGATAGGATGCTAGGCGAGGGGCCTTAGGAAGAAGTAGAAGATGCAGAGGACATGTGGCTAAAGACGGCAACATGTTTACGGAAGGTGGCTGCAGAAGTACTTGGTGTGAGTAGGGGATGCAAGCAGAAAGCGAAAGACACGTGATGGTGGAATGACGAGGTGCAAAAGGCTATTCAGGAGAAGAATGAGTGTTTCATGCGTCTCCACCTTGACAAGAGTGCAACCCACATTGAGAGCTATAAAATAGCGAGGAGGGCTGCAAAGCGTGCCATGAGTGTAGCGAAGGGTCAGGCCTATGATGACTTTTATCCGCGGCGAGGAACGAAGGAGAGGGAGAAGGACATTTATAGTATGGCGAGGATTCGGGAGAGGAAGACAAGGGACATCAGCCAAATCAAATGCATCAAGGATGGGTCGGATTGGCCACTGGTGAAGGATGGGGAGATCAAGGACAGATGACGAGAGTACTTCGACAAATTGTTTACTGTGGAGAGTGAGGGTCCTATCCTGGAGTTGAATAACTCATTTGAGGATACCAATAGATGCTTGGTGAGTAGAATCCGAGAGGCAGAGATCGGAGAGACTATGAAGAGGATGAAGGGTGGTAAAGCAATGGGCCCTGATGGTATCCCCATTGAAGTGTGGAGATGCTTGGGCGCCAGAGCGTTAGTATGGCTAACTAAGTTTTTTAACCTCATCTTCCGGTCAAACAAGATGCCTGATGAATGGAGGAGAAGTACTTTGGTACCGATCTTCAAGAACAAGGGTGATGTTCAAAGTTGTGTTAACTACCGTGAGATTAAGTTGATGAGCCATACGATGAAGCTCTGGGAGAGAGTTATCGAGCATCACCTACGACGAGTGACGAGTGTGACCTAAAACCAATTTGGGTTTATGCCTGGAAGGTCGACCATGGAGGCGATTTTCCTAATACGACAGTTGATGGAGAGATATAGAGACCAAAAGAAGGACTTGCACATGGTATTTATCGACCTTGAGAAGGCTTATGACAGAGTACCGAGGAATGTCATGTGGTGGGCCTTAGAAAAGCACAAAGTCCCATCTAAGTACATTACCCTCATCAAGGATATGTACAAGGATGCGACGACGTGTGTCCCAACATGTGGGGGCGATACCAGCGACTTCCCAATTAAAATAGGACCACACCAGGGGTCAACATTGAGCCCTTATTTATTTGCCTTGGTGATAGATGAGGCCATAAGGGACATACAAGGTGATATCCCTTGGTGTATGCTCTTTGCTGATGATGTGGTGCTAGTTGACGAGAGTAGGGCAGGGGTAAATAGGAAGTTAGAGCTGTGGAAGGACACGTTAGAGTCGAAAGACTTCAGACTTAGTAGGAAGAAGACCGAATGACATGCGCTTTCAGCATGGCTACACATGATGATGGCGACGTTAGCCTTGACGGGCAAGTGGTGGCCAAGAAGGAGATTTTTCGGTATTTAGGATCGATGCTACAAAAGGATGGCGGCATTGATGAAGATGTTAGGCATAGAATTGCAGCCGATTGGTTGAAATGGCGTCAAGCTTCGGGCGTTCTCTGTGATAAGAGGGTGCCACAAAGGCTAAAAGGTAAGTTTTATAGGACGACGATTCGCCCGACGATGCTATACGGTACTGAATGTTGGCCGACAAAAAGGCAACATGTCCAACAACTAAGTGTAGCAGAGATGTTTATGTTGCGTTGGTTTTGCGGGCACACAAGAAGGGATAGAATCCGGAATGAGGATATTCGAGATAGGGTCGGGGTCGCTCCAATTGAGGAGAAATTGATTCAACATCGGCTGAGGTGGTTCGGACATGTCCAACGGAGGCCTCCTGATGCACCGGTGCGTAGGGGATTTCTACAGCGGGTCGATGATGTAAAGAGAGGTAGAGACCGCCTAAACTCACTTGGGAAGAGTCGGTTAAGAGAGACCTTAAAGATTGGAGTATCTCCAAAGATTTAGCGGTAGATAGGAGCGCTTGGAGGCTAGCAATCAACGTGCCAAAACCGTGACTTTTGCTCCTTTCTCTTTTGCTCCAATCTCTTTCTTTTGTTTTGTTGTGTTTCTCTTACCATTGATTCTCTTGGGTTTTATCTCTAGCCTACCCCAACTTGCTTGAGACAAAAATACTATGTTGTTGTTGTTGATAATATTGAGAATAGTGAAATTAAATTAAATTTGAGTTAAAATTTATGTTATGAATTGAATATTTATTGAATTTTTCAATATACAAACCCAAATTTAACCCAATTCAAATACCTATCTGGTTTCGGCGAAGTTTAATATGCAACAATCGAGCCCGTTTACATATCACAGAACTAATTCCTATTTCTTGAAAGAAACCGGAAGGGTAGAGGCGTAATGAAAAGCCCGATGGGCCTCAAATTTCTCACCACAAAAGTCTTTGATTTATAGCTTTTGTTCCCTCTCATAAGTTGATCCCACAGCCAATCTCCCTCTCATCTCTCCGCCTTCTCTCACCGTCGCTCGCCACCGCCCCGGCC